GAACTATCTTTCATATCCCTGTGGCAATATTGTAGTTACCTATTTACGCTGTCTAATCCCTTCCCCTTCTCCCTCATCCCCTCTCCCATCTAGCAACCATCAGTTGTTCCTCTATATCTCTGAGACCATTAACAGAATATTGATTTAATGATCTTATATATCCTTTAATAATGAGATATGCTTTATGCTTATTTTCACACTTTGCTGTCAGCACAGGTGGCCAAAAAACAACTATGTATATATTCTGGATGTCCTCTTAACCTACCATCTTCTTCAGATAAAGAAAGGATCAAATGAACCTTCATTTTTTGCCATGTAGAAGGACAAATCCCAACCTAGATTTTTCTGCACATTTCTGTGGCCAGGAGGCACATTATTAGGGTTATTTCTGGCCTAGTGTCAACCCAACCATGGGACTTAGAATTTTCTCCTTGACTCCTTCCTTTAATCTGACAAATACCTTGCAGTTCATGCAAAGAGGAATGCATCAAACATTACACACATAACAATGGAAAAATCATAGGTCAGACATTCCTGTTCTCGTAAGTTATTTTGGCTACCAGGGTAATCCTATTGGCCTTTTACCCAGCTTTCTGCTTTCTTAATGTCTCCTTTCCCCTTATCTTTTATTTTTCCTCATTCTTCTGCCCACTTTTCCCCTCAAAGAAAATAATATCAAAGCAAGAAAAACAAATCAGTAGGTTATTCTTTTTTCATGGAAAATAACTCTCTGTTGCTTTTTCCAAATCTCATTTCTTTCTTTTCATAATTTATCAAAATACTTTTCTTAAAGGACAGTTCTCTTTTGAAAAGACTACTGGTACTGGTTAGAAAATATATAAACACACCAACTATTACATTTGCATTTGATTTTACAAATGCCAAGTGCTCTAGCTTGCTGGCCTATCTGAAATTAAAGCCTTTTTAGGAATGTGCATGAGAAGGCACACTTTTCATGCAGCATCACATTAATAAGTATAAGGAAAATCTGCACAATTTCAATTTGTCTTTTCAGAAACTCTCCTGGATGTCACTTTCATTTAGTTGTTATTCCTATCAGTACTTCATTGTTGTTACAATTGGGATATTCTGTTTTCTGGGAAGATTATTAGAACAATTTTTCAATGATACTGACAAAATATAAAGTTGTGTTTATGCATTGACAAATATATATTGAACATCTACTATGAGCTATGCTGTGGGGAAATGGAATGTGTTGACAATTCAACAGGTGTGGAGACCAGGGAGCAGACTACAGAAGGCCAAAGCAAGTACAATAACAGTGGGGCTGGCATTTTCAATTAGTAGCTATTAAATTGAGTGTAACAGTGGTTCTCCTGAGGCCTCTTTATATCTTTCAAATGTGGTCATTGTATGTGTTTAACTAGCTGATGTATCTTCAAAATTGGCTTTGCCTGATTTATTCAGGAAATTCTGCACTAGATGGGAATCTTGCTTGCTTAGTAATTGAGTTCTTTAATTTATGGAACTAAATGTTTTAACTTAAATGTTTTTAACTTAACTTAAATATAAATATTTAAAAATCACATTTTCTAGCTTTGTAGCATTTCCTCGTATTAGAGTCCAGATAGATACCCCTTTTTACTAATGTCAAATTTAAATTTTGTTTTTGGAAAAATTATTCTATAAGAAATATAGAAATTTAAGTATTTAACACTATTACTAATATAGAAATAAAACTATAAGAAATATAATTTTTAAACTTTACATCACGAATCCACTCAGACTTAAATGAAAGATACCTTTAGAAGTATGATTAAAAACAAAACTAAAACCCTGTTTTGGGTTAGTTAACTATCTTATGACAATTTTTTTTAGCTAAGGAAATTATTCCACTGATAGGTAAAATAACATGGAATATCTTCTCATTGGATTGGAAAATTCATCAGGTCTTTTTTTTTTTCCTATTCCTTCCAGTGAGGTGGACAATGTCATGCAATCAGCCAACCTTCAGCCTTCATTTTGACTCCTTATACAGTTAACACATATTCTACTAATGAGACTGTTAATGAGGAAAGATGTCTTTCTGCTTCCACTTGATCAAATTAATTCAATTCAATTCATTTATTCATTCAACAAATATTTATTAAGCACCTACAATATGCCAGGCACTGTGCTGGGTGCTGGGGATACAACTGTGAACAAGATAGACACAGTCCCTGCCCTCAAGGAGCTTACAGTCTAGTAGTTATACAGAGAAGTACACAGGCAATTACAATGCAGTGTGGTAAGTGCAGTGATGGGGAGAAAACATTAAAAGGGCACCTAACTCAGTCTCATAGGCAGGAGTGGTGGATGGAAATCTTCCCAGGGAAGGTAAAATTCGATTTGAGTACTGAAGGATGAGTACAAGTTAGTCAAGTAAAGAGGAGATTGGGAAGAGTTATAGACTGAAGAAATAGTAAATGCAGTGTCCCATGTGCTGCTTTTGAGTTTCACTTGCAGTTGGGAGAATTGGGTAGTGGTGAGAGAAGTCATGGAAGGGATAATTAAGGACTAGGTCATAAAGGGACTCATTTGCTCTGCTCATAAGCTTGGAAGTTTTCCTGAGGGAACTATGTGTATGTGTGTGTGTGTGAATAGATTTGAACTTTTAAAGATTGCTCTTCCTGCAGCACAGAGATTGAATGGGGGTGGAAATTTTGAGAGTTGAAGCAAGTTGATCAATCCTTCACCTTTTCCAAGGTTATCTTCCATATCATGCCCTGTGCTCTCTCCAGTCTATCCAGTTGCATACACTCCTTAAACAAGCCATTGACATCCTCAGCTTTGGGCCACTGCTCATCCATGAGGCTCTTAACTTCTCCACCTATGAAAACTCAACTCATCCTTCAAGGAAAGACTTCCGAAATCATCCTAACTTGTGCTTTCTGCCAAGATCTCTAAGTATTGTGATGTTTATCTGTATTATAGTACTTATTATTTCAAATGATTCAAACCTTCTTTTGAACCATGTTAATTTAATCCATACATAACATAAGGTGAGTTTTGTAAATAAACATGGGTATAATTTTCTTCACAATTTTCAGTTGAAAACAGGGACTAATACTTCATTTGTTATCTACCACAAACTATTATTAGTGCCTTCAAATGATTTAAATGGAATAATGAGAATGGGGGAGAGGAAGTCCAAAGAGACACATTATTTTATGCAGCAAAATACAGTTAAGTAAAATTTCAATACACAGTTACAGGGTATGTTGTTGTTATGACAATGATTCATTCCCCAATTCAAACACTCCATCATTGACAATTTAACCTGCTAACGAGGCAAAGATCTGTAAAAGAGGGTAGCTTAGTATGCAAAAATAATAAGGGCTAGCTACATTTTCCAATATGGCCCACACTTCTACAATCCCTCTTGTAGTCTTATAATTTCTCAAATAACTTTTATAATGATAAGAAAAAACTTTAAGCTCTGTAGATATTGTAAGAACATCTGTTGTTTTATTCTTTTTGGTGGGTACAAAAACCACAATTTTGTACACAGAACAAGATTATAAATAATATTGATAACATGAGTGACCCGTAGTCTCTTTTGATTCTACATTGCAGACTGATGATTTTATGTTACCATCATCTTCATTTTAATTTTGCTCCTGGTGGTAAGACAAATGCAATCTGTGGACACCAACTCATGTGACAGAGTGAAGGTTACAGCAAACAAGAAGATGATGACCAATAACTTTTATAAAAAAAAGTCTCTAAAGTTTATTACAGTGATGGCATTTATATCAATTATTGCAATGTATTTTTCCCTAAGATGGTTAGAAAAAAGAATCGTGTTGTCCTCTACTGAATTTACGTCAGTTAAAAAGCAAGCATGTTTCAGTATTTTTCTTCAAAGTAAGTGTAAATACTTCCTTTAAATTTTTTTCACAGGATTTACATGTTTGTATATTATTTTCTTATCACAGTTTAGTGATTTGTTTTCTCAGCTGGATAGTCTTCCATTGATTATATGGGTGTTTTGGAGACACAGGTTAGCATGTTCATTGACTTCTATAACTATTTCATCCCTTGCGGTGAAGACCAAGGCCTTTCTGAGCAAGAACTTCACAGGTGATGAGCTAACTCGCAAGTCTGATTAGTTTTTAAGTCCACTCGAGTGAAAGTTGTTGCTGTTAATACACCCATCCCAGCTCCCCCCACCCACTACCCGAGAAAACCTAAATTGTGAGTTTTCCTGATATAAAATCTGAGTTTGGGTTTCCGAGCTGAGCTCATGCACACGTTGCTGCTGCTGATGTCCGGCGCGTTAGGACATACTTCCCGCTCTCAGCCAAGGGATTGATTTAGCGAAGACCCGCGCGTGGCGTGTCCCTCAGGGCTGCGTTCCCATCAGTCACCAACAGTTTAATTAAGGCACTCAATTATTTTTTTGGTTTTTATGGTAGGTCCGATGCAATGACAGCCAATCCTGAACTTTGTCTAATTGCAGTTCCAGTGTGTACAGCCTTTGGACAGTCGGGCGTCAAGACGCGGCCATTTTCACCCACACTCCCAGTGATGGATAATCTGGCTTTGTTTCTTATGGCTTCAGAAAAGGTCAGCTGGGTTGCATGGAAAGGAAACAGAAAGAATGTGGAGTGTTACAATATTTCTGTTTCTTAAACAAAATAGGGCACAACAAACACCAAAATATCAATAATTAGACATCTGCATTTTTTCCATATTTTTTTGGTCATGTGAAAACTGGTTGTCACAGGAACAAAATGCTTAACTACAGGGAAGAATGAATCTGTCTAGAGTTTGTGGTCCTACCTTCTTAAGAACTTATTCTAAAATCACAAAACTAGGTTTTGTTAAGCACATCTGGGTAGGACACATATTTTAAGTTGCTGTACTCTATATCTTAGTACTTCTAGTCCAGCTTAAAATCTTCTTTACATTTGACAACATCTTTGAGTCTTTTTGTCTTGCTAGAAAATGTCTTTATAAGGATTTGTAAAATATTTTTTAAGGATTATACTCTTTAAATTGTTGTGAATTGTCTAAACAAACTATATACATAGAGTGTTCATGACAGATATTCCTGTTTTTCGGAACACAGATCTATCCACAGACACTTTCATTCATTCACACCAGTTATAGACATGACCCAGAACAGCACAATTAGTGACATAAAGTTCGTTCTATGCCTACTGTGGAAGCTAAGGCTCATATTTTAAGAAGCTTTAAGTGCGTAAAGCGGGTGTACTGAAAAGGGGCATGTTTCAATACCTCGTGAATGGTCATCACTGGGGAACTTCCCAGATTGAGGTTATGGGGTCTGGTGTCTGAAATCCTCATTAAACTCTTGTTCTCTGTCATATTAGGTAGCAGATAATAATATTACACAGAGGAGAAACAAGCAGTATTATGTAAATCTACTGTTCATTCATTATCTTTAAATTCTTTCTAGAGCTGAATTTTAATGCTAATTCATGAGGAAAATAAAGTATTCCTTATGTTTGTTATGGCTTAGATCATAACTTTCTCATAAATCATAATGTATCTTAATTCCCTGTTGTAAATCTAAATTAACCTAATGTGTTAGGTTACTCTGCCCTGGAACTTAAATAATTGAATAATTATATAATAAATAATGAAATTAATAATTGGATTAGAACTGTTATAATGAAAAGTTTAGAGATTAGGCACGCTGATAACTTTAAGAAGTTGAAGTAAACTTGCTAGTTAATGACATATTTATGATAAAAACCAGGTCATGATCATAGTTCTGCTTTAGTGAACCAACCCCAAAATTAATACTTATCTTCATAATCAGAAGTTAGTATACAATTTCTACAGAAACTCTACTACTCACTAAATTAGAACAAAGATCAAAGTCTGAATTTATTTCATTAGATTCCCTTTCAATATTTAATATTAAGTAAAATAAATAATTATTTTAAAATTACTGCTTTAATTTTATTTCATTTTAAATTTTTGAAGAGGAAATACTAAAATACAATTAATAAAAGCAGTGTGATTTTTTTGGGAGGATTTTTGCAGACAGCTTTTGTCATAAAATCTATTTTTGTTTTCTTTCTTTTCTTTATTGCCTTGTGAGGAAAGGAAAACATTCAAAGCAGGAAAGATTCCATGTAGTTTTGAATAATCTCTCCTTCTCTATAGATTAATGCAACTGAGTGTATTAGTTAATAAATCTTTGTCAACTCCTTATTTTTTCTTTAAATCTTAGCATTCTTAGTTCTCAGCAGTCTTATTTCTTATACTTATAGCTCTTGCTTCCATAAAAGGTCATTTCTATTCATTTTGATGTGAACCTATTGAGGCTGCTCAAACTGGAAAACTTTCTTAAAAATTTCTATATGGTCTGCATCTGGTTAGATTGTTGTGACAAATGGCTATGACCTTAAATGTATGTGTTCCCTTTGAAGGATGATCACTTTTAAAGTAGATATCCTACCATCTAGTGAAGGTTTTGGGTTTTATTTTTGAGATTCTGGGACAATATTATCTAAATTATCAATTGCTTGCATAATTATGGCCAAAAGAGTTTTTGAAAGGAAAAAGTCATTTAATATGGGAATGTGATAAAAACTGCTTACTCACAGTCTTCTCTGTAGGTGCAGATCATCTCATTTACCCTGAATGCCTTTAAGCTTTTTAAAAAGTCATATAGATATGAATGCCTTATTTTTATTTGAAATTTATTGTCTTGAAAGTTCAACCCCAGCTCTAAAGGCAATTTATGTGATGAACTGCAATGTCAGGCTCTGACCTCAGAAACATTATACATGTAAATTGTATGTATATAATCTGGGAATTTATGTGTCTATTTAACAACTTCCTGGAACTTTGTAATGAACTGGCATCCATAAGTCTTTCTAGAATTTTCTAATGTTCTTTTTTCTTTTTTTTGCTTTCCTGTCCTAGGACCTTCCTGATAGCTGGAATACTTTTTTTTTTTTTTTAGGGGGTCAGATAGCTGGAATGCTTTTGCTATGTCAAAGAAAAGTCAGTTTTAATAACTAGTTAAAAATTTTATTTAAGTCATCTTATAAAACTCATCTCAGAATAGCATCCAAATTATTGGCTCTGAAAACTTGTCAGGTATTGTTTTTCTCAGTTTGAGAAACTCTCCCCTCAATTCTGTAAATATTATCGTGGAAGTTTTCATATACTGGCCAAGAGATCTTGACATCATCCCAGTGGTTTTTTTGTGTGTTTTTTTTCCTATTAGAAGACATGCTCAAAGCATTGTGATCTGAATGAATTGAGGGTTTTGCTCTTAATTCTTTCCCACAAAAATTGGGAAAGAACCACTTTGGGCTTACCTACATGCAGTTACATTCAGCTATTGATTTTGAGATTACAGATACAAACAATTAGATTTTGGTAAAAAAGGGTGGCTTTTGTTCTTCATTTAAGATACTAATGTATTTCAGTAGCTTTCATATGAATAAATAAATATCAAAATCAAGCATGTTTACCTGGCATAACCTCAGATGTATATCTCACTCTTATGAAAATTATACTGGGTTTTTGACCTTAGGGTACATCAAGCCCTAAATGTCTCTTGTGGGTTTAAAGGCTCATTTATTATTTTACTCAGAATGAGCAGCCTATTCAGTTGGCAATTATATATAATTTTAGAAAATGTGTTTTAGAGATTTGATTTTAGGAAGAGCAATAAAAAATGCTTTTAGATCTTATTTTAAAATCACTTTCTGTCATTAGAGGAAAAAAGTAGTGGACATTCAGATTCTTAAAAAAACGATCTCCATCTTCCATAGTTCACTGAATGCCTATAGTTTTTTATTGTGACATGATGAGAGTATATGAGTAAATCAGGCCTATCTGGCTTACTTAAAAGCAATTGAAATAAAAAATCCATATTAACTCACTGTATTTTTATCTTTTACTGAGTTTCTCCTAAAGAACACATATATTGCTGACATATTTGATGGAGAAACTGCTATATTGCCTAAAATGTCTGCTTGCCTTAGTGATATTGTGGACATAAAAGTTGAATTTCATCTAATAAATGTGAATTGTGTCAATATTCTGATGATCACTCCTGCCTCAAGGTCTAGCTCAAGGACTACTGTCAGATGAACAAACAGCCGAGTTTTACTATTTAAACATATAGGATGATGGCTAATATAAAACAAATTAGAATGGGAGCTAAAATTCATTGAGCATTTGCTATGTGCCTTGGAGCTTTTACATCATATATTGTTTCTCAGAAAAGGTTTTTCAGAAAACTTTATCTGGAAGCTGTTTAAGTTTTGATCAGTTGAATCAGGTTTTATGCTTATTTTGTTAGCACTTATTCTAAAATTGAATTGTTCTGGAGAAGATTAGCCTGGTTTGTGTACAAGGAAACCCAGATCTAATTTCCAACTTCTGTCAATTTTTCGGGTAAAATATAGTGTTTAAATAATTTCACATGGCAATTCTGGAGGTTTGTTTTGTCTTTCTGATCCTTTCAATGCAGATATCTATTGGCAACATATAGTTTTGAACAGTACATCTGCAGCCAAAGAAAACTGAACCACTTTGCACTGAAGTTTTAAAAAATATAAAGCTCTAATTAGAAGCAAGCAATACCACCACTGGACAGACAGGTCACAACACTGAGTTTACAGGATGCATCACCCACTCACTGTAGTAGGCCCTAAGTCCTACCCCTAAATTTTAATACTTTCGGTTCCATATACGTTGTAACCTTCTCTATAGGTTGCTAAATTCTGGGTATTCTGCGAGGAAGTTGGGTTAAAAGTCTGTGCACTCTTTGCCACCTTCATTCTCTTCGCTTCTGCCCTGGACTTGTAACAGAACTCTATCAAAGCCACCAGCATTGCCAAGCCCAAGCCGCCAACCAGAATGTAGAAGACGCCTGCTACGTTGCTCAGGCTCAAGGCACTCGTCTTGTCCTGCCAAGGATAAAGACACTTCAATTAACTGTGGAAATGTCACATCCAGAACATAAAAGAAACACATGAAATCCAAACAGCTAAGTAACATAAATGCTAATTTAACCTAAAATTATTTACGTGTATAAATCACTGATGTAGGTTTATGGATTTAAACATAAAGCTCATAGCTCTCAGGAGAAGAGAAATTATGATTATCAATGAATTGTAATTATATTCAATAAAATCTGCAATATTTTTATTATTATTAAATATTCAACACAAACCACTATACTTAGCCACAATAAGCATTTATATATTTACATAGGGCGGCAGAAGTGAGTTTATTATTGTTAAGTTTGAAAATGAAATGTTTAAAACACAATTACATGGGAGAGGGACCCCTTTGGTTTTCTTGCCATTAAAACATACTTTTAATGTTTGAGATTTCTCTTGAATAAATCTAACTTCACATTTCCTATTTAAGGAACTAAGGTTTTTTAAGCTAGCAATTTCACATTTTGTTCATTATTACTTTACTAAATATATGCAACTAATATGCTAGTGAACACATACATTATTTGTTCTTTCAGACACATCTGTGTGGGAATTCTTCTGGAAAGTGTCACTTTTACATATTATATACTATTTAGGAATAATTATATATGCATCATGCTGAGGTAACTTTTTTTAAAAATAATTTTTTAAAATAACACAAACTACCACAGTCAATTGAGAAATAGGTTATGTATGGACAAATTTATAACTATTTTTATTGATTTAAAAATATGATTCCATTCCCACTTAAAAACCCTTAATCAGTTAATATTTTAGATATGTGTCCAAAGCTTTAGTATGCATATCTCATAATAAATTCAGAAATAGTCAAGCATATGATTGGAAGATACTAAAATTGCAACAAGAATTCAGAACTTTTTAATAAATTGTAAATATGTATATTATATAACATTATTTAAAAAGTATTTTGGGTAGACTACCTCAAGGATGTCCTCTGGCCATCATCTTCTCAGAAGGATGTTTGGTGCAAAATGTGATTTAGACACTTAAATAGTTTTATTAGAAGAGTATTTAATTGCAAAGATATACTATGTACACTGTCTACTTAGCCATGACATCAACTGATTGGGCCGAAAGTTTAGGGAAGCTTCATTTTTAAAATAATCACTCAAGTGTTTATGCTTCTCAGACTTTACATAAAGATTGGGGTAACTATTTCATTATTTGGTCAAGCTTGTCTCATTCCACTCTGGTTCAAAGGCAGACAAACAATTAAAATATAGGGAGAAGCCCTAGAAAGCGATCAATTAACTTTACTTTGTCTGTTTCTTAAATTAGCTGAGGCTCTCCTATTTAAGCCAGTCACTTGTTTAGTCTTTGAATAATCTATCTATCTATCTATCTATCTATCTATCTATCTATCTATCTATCTATCTATCTATATGTATATCTATATATAGATAGATAGATATATTTTTCTTTCCAAAAGAAAATACAGAAAAAAATAAAAGAAAACTCCAAGAGTCTTCAATTATGGCTTTCAGGCACTGTTATTACATTCTATTAATGAGTGCCGGTATTTAGATTTACTGATAAATTGTTATTTTTTTTCTTTAGAATGAAAACACAACTGTTTGTAATACTATTTTCATTTGTATGCAACAGAATCAGGCTTATAGTTTCCTGTGTTGTTCTAAAAAGAATTCATGAATAAAAGATCTTAGAACTTGAGGATATTATTCATAAACATTAATTTATTTAAATCATTTTGATAAAATAGATTTGGAAGTTTGATTCTGTTTGTCAGCATAAAAATATAATAAATAAGGTCTCTTCAAACTAAAGTGGAATGGTTGGTAATATAATGGCAAATAATACATATTTAATATTTAAAATCTTTTTCTGAATGACTACTGATCAATTTCTCATTTCTTATTTTGAGAATACATCCGTTACTGAAATAATAAATTTCGTGGTCTTTGCCTCCAAAACAAACAAAAACCTAACCAAAAATCACTACTTTTATTAGTGGTACGTAAGTTTGAGTATAATATAAGGAATTTTATAATTTTATGTATTTTTGTAGTTAATTTAAATTTATTTAAAAGCCTTAACATTGGGGAGCAGGTTGCAATTTCCTGAAAAGACAGTCCTGTGGCTGAAATTTATACTAGCTTCTAATTTAGGCAGTGTATAGAGAAATGTTGAGTTTTTAACTGTTTCTATATTTTTCTTTTTCTTTTTCTTGTTTTTTTTACAATTGCTCCCATTTACTGCTTTGTGAACACAAGAGGAGGCCCCGAACTGCAGCGACTGACCTTGCTTCCAGAGTCCTTGGGTCCACATTCACCTTTATCGTACCACCATTTGTTTTTCAGCTTGTCTAAGACGCCTGCCTCACTGAGTTTCAAAACGGCAAGGTTTACAGGAGTTCTTCACGTGGAAAATAACATAAATAACATTATATATGTTATTTTATGTTATTCAAGTAAAACTACATTAGAATCGCATGGCAAAGTGACAGAGCAGAGGCCACAGTAGGTGCTATGTCTTGTACTGTAGGCCCAGGTTTAGAATCAGACATAAAACTGGGGCCTGCTCCATCGCTTTAGGTAACAGGCACATACTGCTAGGGAGGATTTTTAAATAAAATGTATGCAATTACTGTGAATCCAAAACTATTGGCCTGAGTTTGGTTTCTTGAGTGTTTCCAATTTTCCCAATATAAATGTGGGAGTCATTCAAAATCCAGAAGCTCCTTTTTTTTTTCCCTTTCATAAGGTAAATGACTGCAGGTTGACAGACTTAAATAGAAGCTAGACAGGACTGGTTTCATTTCTCACTTGCATTATGATTCAGCTAGTGGGATTTTACCTTACGCTATAAAAGGATGTCTACAGTGCCCATCATTAAATGGATTCCTTCACCACTCTCACCAGGACTGAATTAAAAGAGGAAGGTGACTCAAGTGTTACTAAGGGCCCCCTCATAGAGAGGAAGGTCCTCATAAACACATATGTACATTATTATTTTAAAATATAAGGCCTGGCTGATATTTTCCTTCTAAACTACAGTATTTAACCTACTATCACCAGATACAATTTTCATTCATCTTGCGTTTACCATATTAATATACTCTAAGTACAAAGGGAAGTTATTATAATATACTATATTAATTCTTACCAACAAATACATGATAGGTTAGGAGTAAACAAGGTTTTTATCAATAGACAATCTCCTCATACTATAAAATCCCATTTTTCTTTTGTACCCTCTTTGAGCCCTTCAATACTAAATTTTTTATAAGGAGTCTCAAGGAAGAAAGGGTCAGTCATCACTCAGCATCAATGTTCCAAGGAATCTAAGAATTCTTTCTGTTTCCATTCCCATGTTAACCTTTGAGTGTGTAAAATAAGGGTCAAGAAGATGGATGGGAAGCAGTAAGTCCTGGCATCTTTTGTTGTTGGTTGGTTTTTGTTTCTTTTTGCTTTTATCAACACTCAGGGACTCGTTGTATTCCTCTAGACATTTCTAAGGCGACCACAATTATTTTGTCTGGCCCTATCTCCTATTGCCTCTCTTCTTATAGGAAATGTTGAGTGCATTTGGAGAAACACAACATGCATTTATTTGGCTACCAGGGAATTAATTCTATAATCCTATCTATACAGGTAGGTAATGCACTTGTAAAGATGGTTATAGTAATAGCTAATGTTTAAGGAGCTCTTGCTATGTACCAGGCATTGTTAAAGCATTTTACATGTTTAGTTAGTATTATCCCCTGCATTTTGTTATACAAATGAGGAATCAAGGCACACAGAGGTTAGCTCATCTATTCACACAACTAGGAAGTAGCTGAATCAAGATTTGTAATAGCCTGACCTCATATCTTGTGCAATAAAGAATAGTAACAACAGAAGGCTCAGGAAATGGGGTTTCTGGTTAATTGAGTTTTCTGGTTAAGAGTTAAACTAAAACCCATTAATTTTGTACTGTTCGTTCTGAAAAATCTTTCTAAAATATAAGTTTTTCTTTTTGTTTATCTAGTTTCTGAATACAATTTAATTTTTGTGTGGATTTTATAAAATCTTACAAGGTTCATTGTTCCATTTAAGAATATGCATTTGTCACATTCCTAAAATATTGTTTTTCGGATTGAAATCTAACATGGGCATGATTTAACACTTCCTATTAAAAACTGAATTTGGGGTGAGGATTATGTTTGACTGGGGTGCTTAATTTAGCCCCAATCTAGGGGTTACCTATACACCCTGTTCCCTGACCTCCACACTTTTCCCCTCACCTCCATTTATGAAGTGACTTAACGAAACCACACCTGGGGTTGGTTGGTGAACTGTGAACTCCTTGAGAACAAAAGCCATATTTCATTCATTTTTGTAGAACAGTATTTACTAGGGTATCCAACTCAGAGTAAGTGCTAGGTCAAGTTGCTACATTTAAATTATTTCGAATCCAGAACAAGCTTTTTCCTTTAACTGATATTATTAGTTTTTAGGTTCCCAGCCCAGCTTGCTTTTTGCTTTTAAACTCATTTAGGTATATTACGTTAGCCTATATTGCACTTCTTGAATGAGGTGCCCTGGGAGGAGGAGGGAAGAATTAATGCATAAAAGAGAAGGAAAACAAAAGCAGTTTAAGTTTCTTAGGAGCGGTTGAATGCAAAATTGAGGATTAGATGACTGCCTTTGGTTTATCTCTCTCTCCTAAAAGTCCCTTGTTCTCTATCTGTTTCATTTTCCCCTTGCCTCTTTTTCCCTTCTGTTATTCATTCCAGTAGCCTGGTTTTAGAGAGTAAGATTAGACTGGAATTTTAAATGTAAGAGATTTATTATTAACCAAATTTAATGATCAACTGGTAGAAATTCAGGCACCGATCAAGGAATTAATTATTGGGAGGTCCTTCTTCTGAGGGTTAGCTTCCTTTACTGGTTTTTGTTTATCACAAAAAGTTTTCCCTGCTTATGAACTCATACTATCCGTAATAATCCCTTTATTCTTGCATTGGTATCCATGGCTGTGGTGAAGGGAAGTAGGTCATTTATAACTATAACATATTTTAAAGTCAGAAACGGGCTGTATTCTTCAAAGTGCTAAATTAAAAACTGGATATGATGTGATCTAATATAATTCCTGAAGAACACATTATTTGATAATTACATTTACAAAATGATTTTTATATGAATATCCACACCTACGAGTGTGCCTATTTTTATATACATAGAAGTAGAATAAAGTATAAAACAGAAAAAAAATCAATAATTTTATAGATCATGGATAATTACAGGTACTTGCCAAAATTTCCATATAGAACCAGGATTAAACAACTCACATAAAAATTGGCATAAAATTCTGCGTATGGTTGGTGATCAGTCTAAACATATCAGGTTAATCAAATGGGAAAATGAGGTTTAGCCATTGCAATGCTATTTTTAAATTGGTTCATTGCCAATTAATAAATTTGTTATTTTATTCACAAGAATGAGTACGAATTTCTTATGATCATAAAAAGACCACATCACAACCATATTACCATTATCAAATATGTAAGTTTTCAAACAAACGAATTTGTACACTCCAAATCATGTCTTTCCACTTTATTTCACTTAAGATGTAGGACCTACTTCCTTATTTCTTTGGTAAAATTTTTACATTTCAGTGTGAAGCCTTTTGGCCGAGGGCTACCATGCTCAGAATGTTCTGGGAATGGGTATCAGGTGAATGGGATACTAACTATTTTGCAGCCTTGGGGTGTAACTGGAAGTGGTCCCAGTGGCTCTAAATAGTCCAGTTGTTGGTTATATTCAATCAGAATCTCCTTGAGGGAAAGGAGGGTGGGTAATTCTCTTTTCCCCCACAGGTACTGGTGCTATGGCCCGGTTAAAGCAGGTTTAATACATTTGCAGCTGAATATGAATAGAAAGCTGAAGATGTCCTCCCTGGTTACAATCCTGTGAATGACAGGTGGGTCAATTTTCTCTTCACTGGACCCTATTCATATGTGGAAGTGTTTTCCACTTATTTTTTTTCTACGAAGTTTCTGTATTTGAAAATCAGGTAACACCACACCGGATTTCAGCCTGCGCCCACCCCAGTGAGCTGGCAGTGTTTAATTGGCTATTCTGCTTTGGCTTTACCCTCAGCAAAGGCTTAAATTCTGGTTTCATTCTCCAGATCAGCACTTTTGCTCTTCATCTTCTCTCTTTCGAAGATCAAGCTAACTGGGAGGGGCAAGGTAAGTTTAAGGAGAAAATCCTCATATGAAGAAGGTACAAAACAACAATGAAAAAGCAACTGCCTCCTGGTAACTTACTTTGATCTGAGTTAGTTTAAGCGATTTAAATATCACCTTTTGTTACAAATTCAGATTAGGGCATTATTAACACTTGGATTGTAACCACTCCTCTTGGTGATAAATATTACATCAATATTTAAACCTATTAGAAATGTTTTTTAGTATGAAAACAAAATTCCTCAGGGAAAATAAAGCATAATGCAATTTCACTTGGGGGAACATTTTAGGCAAATTTTTCATAACATTTAAGAAAATTACTTGTTAAGATTTGAAATATTATTTTGTAGTTCACGTCAAGTGGAAGTAATGTACCAAATACCTATGAGAACAGCAGTTGGGTTTTTGAAAATGACAAGTTCAGATTCAAATTTATTTATTTGGACAACAAATATTAGTGTTCATTATGTACCAAACAATGTGTTGGATACAATCAGATTAAAATCCAACTGAGTTGTTCAACCTTACTTAAATAAATTAAAATGACTTCATATCTGCTTCTGCTTGCTTATTTATTTTCTCTCTGGAAAGAGTCTAATGTACACTAAAATTGAGCCTCACTTATTCATTTTTGTGGGAAATTTTATCTGTTAAGCAGTGTTATACTTCTTTTCTATTTGTAATAAAAAATTAAAAATTTCAAGTAAAATTTTTCTAATGGAATAGAATATCCTTGCTTTTGTTTTCTATGGTGCTATTAGAGCACATTTTCTAACATTTCTAATTTCAATAGAAGAATTATAGATTATTAGTGTAAACTTGAATAATTTTCTCTGCATATATGTATATATATATATATACACACACACACACACACACACACACACATATACATATATTTTTATTTATATTTTTATGGAAACTATCAGTGCATTCTAGGCAAGGTAGGGCTCCAAGATATAAAAAGAATAAAGACTCCTCAAGAAAACACCTCAAATGGAGGTGTCTTGAAGGGGAACCATCCCAGAGGAACTTTCTAGCATCTCTCTGCTCTTTTTCTCCAGGAACTCATATTCTCTCTCAGAATAAGGATATGGGTGATCTGGTTTGGGACACACAATTCTATTGTTTCTTTCTCTTTCATGCCTCCCTCTGTGGCCAGAATATTCATTTGGCAAAATTTATCCTTCCTCCTCCTATGGTAGGGCTAGTTATCAGATGGGAATATGCAAGTTAGTTGAATTTGAAAGGCTCTTTAGATTGGGAAGTTTGTGGCATTGAAAAAAGGTGAAGTCAGTCAGCAGCCATCTGAGAGGTACTTCCTGAAAACAGAGCGTCATTTTGTGGGTTGAGTGGCAAAGTGAGGGGATTTATATAGCCCAATCAAGAACCTGAAGAGAAGCAGGTCTTCTGGTTTTGGGGAATTCTCTAGATTTTAAAGACAAGTGCATATACTTCTAAATTTTCAATATTCTTATATACCAATTGAAGGTATATAAGAAACAAAAATTCAGTCAGAATATTCCCATCTCTGGGTTGTTTTCTTTAAGTTTATGCATAGTGAAAAGGGTTCTGGAACACTAGATAATATTTTCTTTTAATTGTACACCTCCCCCCCACTCTTTTTTTCTTTAGACACTGTTCATAAATTTAAAAGAAAACCACTTTTATGAAGCTGGAAATATGACAAGGATGCAGTGAAGACAAAGGTGAGTTGGTCTTGTTTTTATAACCTGATCATTTTATAGTTTGATTCATTTATGGTGGGCAAAAAATGTCTAGTTCACATGACTATCTTTGATTTATTATTTATTATGTAACTTATTATTTAACAGAAGCCTGGTTTAGATGGAGAAATGATTTTCAAGTAGGCACTCTAGACAGATCTAGGTAGAATCAGGATATTGCTGTTACTTAAGAACATTTCACAGGAGTTCTGTTGAAGAAAACAAGAAAGGCATACCCTTTCTGTTCTCTCTCCTTCCTTCACTAAATTGCTCTTTCAAAAACTAGCATCCCTTGCTGCCTTACCAAAACCAAGGTTTATAGGACTACAATGTCTGATCCACATTTTCAAAGCCAGAGATTTTCAGCGACTATTTTAACTAGGTTGGTTAGTATGTCCCCAAATTGATAACAGTTGCAAATATTTTTGCTTTGACAGTAATTGCATACTTAAGTGTGTGAAGGGACATGACTAGCAATTCTGGTGGTATTAGTAGGCCCAGAGTATAAGTCTCCCAGCAGATGCACCTATTACTTTACATACTGTTTACCCGCTTTTGGTGACATTGAGGCTAACCTTGGAGTCACCTCCCCCGCTGCCACATTCTCCTTTGTCGTACCACCATTTGTTTTTCAATTTGTCCAAGAGGCCTTGTTCATTCAGTTTTAAAACTGCGAGGTTAACAGCATTTCTTGAAACGATAAAACATATTTTGTAAGAAACTGCACAGCTGTTAAGATGTTAGAAGGAATGAGGTCTTAAGCTCTTCTATAAGCTTCTCCCAGACGCTAAATAAACCTCTCATTTTGCCATCCTGTAGCCCCTTCCACCAGAGTCCAAACCAAAGGCAATTGTAACTAATTTCAAAGTGTATTAAACATGTAGTATTTAGTGCTGTTCACTTTCACAGTTCATTTATTGTCAAATTACCGCCATCATCATCAACCAATTACATGAATTTTTTTTCAAAACAGTAATACCTTAAATTTACTATTAATTGAGAAAGAATTGTCTTGAATTCCTTTACCTAGAATGTCAACGACCCAAAAGAGACTGAAATGAAAATTCATTCCCAGAAGGAAAAACATAATAGCGTAAACAAACCATCAAACCAGCCACTAATTTTTGTGTACTGATTTCCTGACAATAAAGAGTATGGCTTAATTATTATTCCCTTTATTATTTGTGAGAGTTTAGTTTGATCGTTTGCTTAATTTAGTTCATCTCAGAATCTAGGATTTCCATGTTTGGTTCAGTTTCCTGGCCTGGAAGTCAGAGGATAGTGAAGAGAAAGGCAGTAGCAGCTTTTAGGGAAAAGTTTCTATATTTGAATTGTATGTTGATTCTTAAAGGCATTGGATGCTATTTAGTAACTAGGATCATGTAGCCAATTTGACTGTTTAAATTAAGTATTTAAACCCTAGGAAGTCATGCTGCATGTGATGTAGACTTGGCAAACACCCTAGATTAGATTTTCTCCATGTTTGTCTCTATAGGGGAATAGAGATAGCATATTCTAATTATTCTCTAAAAGGATTTTAAAAAGTGTCATAGGCTTTTGCCACCCATGCATATGGTTTCTTCCTTGCTTTCAAATTACAATTTTTATGAGGAATTATCTCTTTCAAGAGGTTTTCCCAGCACTTAACGAAATTTCTGTTAAATCTGAGGAGTGGCTTATATACTGAGAGAATTTGGGTACAGTTTTTGCTATGCTATTTGATAAATACTGAGTTTGGCGATCACTTAATGCCAAATGAATTATAAACAAAATAAACTAACTGCCCCATATTAATGAGTAGCACTTGAACATTGATTTGCAAGTGAGATGTCATTCGGTTGACTAATGAACAGTTGTTGCATATTTCACCACTAACCAGCCGTTAAAGTGTTTATTCCCTTAGAATGTGTTTGTAATATTTCAAGTAAACGATGTTCATTTTCCATGATGTTCATGTTGTGATGGTCTGATCCACTTGGAGAGCAAACATTTTCCATGAGTAAACCATGCACTTTGAGACTGTTAACTCTTTTAAAAGAGTTAGGCTGCCATTTACTAAATGCTAATAAATAATTACTGTTCCCACATTCCCAAGTAAGTGTCACATTAGTGATGTGAAGTAGTTAATATACTTACTAAAGTAACCAATAAGATGGTTAGTTTAATCACCAAAAGGACCAGACTGAAATGTAGGCATGTCAGTGATTCTAGACATCTATTTTTTTTAAACAAATGCTGTTGGGAGAAAGTTGTTTAATTTATTTTATGTCCACAAAAAATTAAATTTGTCTTTCAATGATTTAAACCTAACTACTAAAATTTTTATTTGGAGGAAATTATTTTTATAATCCACTATACTTTAGCCTTAAATATATATGTTAGTTTTAGGTTTTTTTTTTTTAATGAAGTGGTGTCCCAATTATTTTATGTGTTGGTTTAGACCATTCCTTTGATAAAACTAAAACCATTTCATGAGAGGGTTATTTAACAGGGTTATTAGCCATATCCAAAGACAGTTTCACAGCACAATAGGAAACAAAAAAGCAAAATAAAGGAATGGATAAGAAAAAAAAGCTTTACATTGAAAAAATTGTTTGGAATAAAGCTTGCTACAAAATTATTCTAAGACATTGTCTTTCTAATATCATCTAATAGGCCATGTAAAAACAGTTTAGTTTCACACTGCTATTCATATATGTGTGTATGTATATATAGATCTATATTTGGTTAGTATAAGACACTTGACCAATAGGTAATTCACTGCCCAATTCACAAATAATCTACATGTTTTCCTTCCAGAAACATGTGGTCCCTCAATAAAGTCCACTTTATACTATGATATGTAAAATTTATTTTTCTTTAACGATGTATAGAAGGTATTTAGTAATTCATATTTAGAAATAGTTTTCAGTATTTCAAGATATCTTTGCATGTTTTCTGCAATTGTCTGACTAAAGATGTAATATCTAGGTCTAATGGCCTCTTTAAATTGCTATTTAAACTGCAGTATAAACTACATATGTAAGGACCATTTGAACATCTGTTTTATGAAATGCATTGCTATTACATGTTATTAATAATAGGAATCACCAAATAACATATATATACATATATATGTGTATACATATATATGTATATATATATGTGTATATATATGTATATACATATATATGTATATATATGTGTATATATATATACATATATAAATAAAGTTACTTCACTCATTTTGCTAGACTAGATTAAAAACTATTTTTTATGCAGGTAAACATAAAAAGAACTCTCATGGAGTAATTGTAAGCAAGCCTAAGGAAGTCTTAAGGAGTCAGGACTTGCTGCAGCTTATTTTATTATTGCTTTGGAATCCCCTTCATACGTTTCAGACATAGATTTCAAAATCAATGTCAGAAACACACACTGATAGTAAGGGATATTCTTGTCCTCATTAAGCATCAGAGAAGCTGTAATAGTGGTCTGCCAAGCGGATGAGATAGAAAGAATAAAATTGTGGGTTTTTTCTTACATTAATTTTTAAAATTTTGTTAAACGTAGCTTTTACAGAATAAACTCAATTGAAATGGATTGTTTTCAATTAAAATTTGAAGAGCGGAACAAACAAGTGACCATATTCTTGCTGGATGTGTAAACCACATTTAAGAGCCCAGGTGTATTCACGATCTTTCATACATTGAAAAAAGACCCAGGTAACTTACTTATTTATTTGACTTTCTCATTTATGCCTTAGGGAAACTCTAGAATAAAAACAAACAAAACAAAACAAAACAAAACAAAACCCTCCCTAAATAGCTGTATCCAGAGTGGTGAGATGATGGGGAACTTGATTCAGGGTTGGAAAGAAAACACTCACCTGGACAAATTCCAGGAACTCTGGAAAACTTCCAAGGCCTTTTATTCCTAAAATTTCCTTCTCTTGAACCCTTGCATTTGGGACCCATTTTTGTTACTCTTGTTGAAATACCACATAAAACAAAAACTTTGAAACAGAACCTAACAGACCTGAATTTTTTTCCATTTATTAATGTTGGATAAATTAATCTAGTGCAAAGTAAGATACTCTTATTGAAAGCATGCTTAATTCAGGCTCAAATATTTATCTCTTACCCTCTACCCTTCCATAAATGATTTATTACTAAATGCTACAGATGTCAATATGCTTTTATGCTTACTTTATGCCTTACTCATTATATTTACCTCTAGACCATATTTCTTATAGTGTAGCTTTTCTGGTGGTGAGGTTTTAAAGTTTACATCTGATAAAATGTCTACCTAAGTAAATAGGAAAAATTTTTAAAGATTAAGTTTGGTATTTTTATGATTTCCTAGCTTTGGGAATATTATTGTCAAGGACTAATATATAAGGTCTAGACTTATGTCCACACATACAATACTTAGGACATATATAGTTTGTAGAATAAATAATTTGCAATATTATAGTTAGTCTGTTTAAAACAAATTCAGTTTCATTTTAATTCAACCAGATGAACATTTCATTGCTGGTGGTGATATCAATTATGTATGAATCTAATGCAGTTTATTTGTCTACTATATAATTTTGCCAGTGCTTTATAATCCTTATAAGAAAGAATCCATTAGTTATATATACACACACAAAAAGTCTCCTCAGTTTTAGGCCTGTGCTGTCCTAATGGAAGTGCTCTTTTCATATTAAACACTCTATAAAATTTAAATATCTGGTATTAAAATGTCCAGAATATTTGCCTAAATGATACTAGAAATTCTTTTCATAGTCCCCAATAAATCTTAATATATATTTTAAAAACTTAAAAACTGTGTGACTCCACAAGAAATTATGTAAACAAATAAGAAAATCTCTTTAAGGGCCGGCCGAGTGGCTCAGTAGGTTAAGAGCTCACTCAAGAGTGTGGGCTCTGAGCAACAGCATCACTGGTTCGATTCCTGGCCCGAGCTGAGCTGCTGCTGAGCTGCCAACAGGTGGCAGGATGGCTCAGCTTAAAAAAAAAAACAACAACAACAACCAAAATCTCTTTAAAATAAGCAAAGGACATTGGTAGATATTTCATGTAAGAAAAAGTACAAATCATAAAAATAATCCAGCCTTACTTGGAATTAAACTAATGTGAATTAAAACAATGCAAATTCATTTTTTTTGCCATTTATATTGAAAAAGATAAAGATAATGTTCAATATAAGCAAGGATTTAATTAGATAGGTGTCCTCATACTGATGATAGAATTAAAGACTGGACAGAAATAATATGACTTTATACAACCAAAGCTTAAAAACAGTTCTGACCCTTGATAATTATTTATAGTAATTTCCCATTGAGGAAACAATCTTAAGAAATTAATTAATGATGTTGACAAAGTAACATAATAAATCTCATAGTATATTTATATAGCAAAACATTGAAAGCAATTAACATGCTCAACAGGACAATTTAGTAGATTTTGGGACACAACAGTGGTTCTCAAGCTTGATTTGAACCTCAGAACCACTTATTACAAATACAGATACTCAGGTCTAACCTTGCTGTATCAAATTCTTTTGAAGTGGAAGCAGTATATCTACATTTTACAAAGCTCCCAGGTGATGGTATTGATAAGCACCAATAATCATATGACTGAATGTTTTACAACCATTAAAAAATTTTAATGACAAGGGACAATGCTTATAATATAATGTTAAGTGAA